AATTTTGTCTTCTCAATATGACTGTTAAACACTAAAAGCTGATCCTTTTTGGATTAATCGGCATTTTGTGCATTTCCCCCAAACCAGTTGTTTTCACAACTCAACTTAATAAAAAGAAATTAAAGAAACCTCTTTATATCAAATGCAGAGACACTAGTGGTTGTGTGAAAGTGAGACTTGGCACTTTTCTCATACCTATTTGACATGTTTATTCTCTGGTGTGCTGGCAGTTAAATATCCTCAGGTGTTCCATCTCTTTCCAAGCTTCTCTCACTTTCAAAATAAGGTACAGTCTTAAATGTAAAATAAAAACAAAATGAAATCTGGCCCTGCCTGTATTTCTCTCATGCATATACATGTGGTATACTTGGTTACATATTTTTAGAAGCCTAGTGGAAATCTCAAAGACAGGAGAGGAGATTCATTCAGTCAGGAAGCAGACAAATAGACAGTACCTTGAACTTCTCTGGCTGCAGCTGCATAAATAACTGATATGTTTGTGTTTCGGTGGGCAGTCCTGACAAATGAAAAAAAGTTCCAGCTTTTTAATTCTTTCTTCCTTTTTTAGTCCAAGATGACTTACTGAATTCAGCCCCAAAACACTCAAGGTTTTATGTATCAAGCATTTACAAACCCTTCCGCACTCCTATCCCCCCAAGCCTTAGCTCAGCTGTGCTCCCAGCCTTTCATGGAAAAAGAACAAGTCTTAGGCTTTAGAGTTACTTAGGTTGTGTTTGCAGGCTTGGGGTTTTTGGTCTTTTGCCTGGAAAAAGAACAAGTCTTAGGCTTTAGAGAGTTACTTAGGTTGCTGTGTTTGCAGGCTTGGGGTTTTTGGTCTTTTGCTTTTTAAAATACCTATAGCATTAGGCTATCTTGCTCTTTTAAAAACAGTATTGCAAGAGATGAAAGAAATAAGGGCCTAAACATATTTGCATGCTGAAGGTCGTCATTATGCCACAAAATGTATTTCTGGCCCTAGTAGTAAATTTCAGGCCTTGTTAATCAGAACTTCTGTGGAAGCCAAGGCTTTCAAGCATATTCCAGGACTTGCTCAGGTCCCTTGCTATGGTTGGACTGTTGCCTGCTGTCTACCGTCTAGAACTTGTGATAGGTTTGGACTGGAAGAGTGTGCTTCTATACTTGGGAAAGAAGATAGGTATTTACAGACAAATGGAGTTATTTCTTACCAGAATCAAGTACAGATTAAAAATAAGTTGGTTTTTTTTTACCAACCTCTGCAGGCCTTTGGCATTTAGGAGAAATTCTTAAAGATGCCCCTGCAAAGTGGTAGATACAGTTATAGTGCTGTTTGGTTTTCCCATGTGGCTTCACTTTGGCATGTTGTTTTTCATAATCTGTCATTGAAATAATAAAATACAGTATCAACATAACTGTTTTCACACTTAAAATTCCTGGGCTAGAGTGTCATCTCAACTCTGTTGTAGAAAATTTTTCCGAGTTTCTCAGTATGTACACCAGTGAAGCTGAGACAGTTTTCATAATTATTTGGTTCATTAGAGGTGAGGGAAAGGACAGGAAATCAAGAAAAAGTTGGGTGTCCTAAACTGCAGTTGGGCTGTAATAAGAGAATTTAGCATCTGTGCTAAGCTGAGAATCTTGTTTGTGGGCAAAGAGCAGGAAGTCCAGTGCTTGTACCTGTTTCTTAAACCAGGAGATAATCTGTTAAAATATGCAGTTTAATGTGTTCTTCTGATGTGATAAGGGTGGTAACATGTTTCTGCCTTAGGAGCATGTGTCGCCAGAAAGAGGAGCTCTGACACATAAGTGGGCCAGGATTCTGCTTAATTATGTCTTCTGCACAGCTGATAATATATAGAAGAAAGTAAGTATCTTTTTCAGGTTAACAGGTTCCTGCTGGGCCAATTGCATGCAGAGCATCTAGACTTTTACAAGCTGATATGCCATGAAATCTGGTAGCTGAATTAGTGTCCTTCATAATCAATGTACTTTGAAATAAATGAAGATGATGAATAATTGCTCTGGTACTTATTATTTAAGATTATTTGTACTGGATGTTACAGTAAAACTAATTGGTTTTTTTCATCACTTATATTTTTCTACAAGAGTTAGAATTTCTTGGACGTGATCAGGTTGCTAAAAAACAGCTGACTAACAGTGTAGCAAAATACAGTATTTATTTTTAGATTTTTTTTCCCCCCCAGCAGAATGATAAATAGTTCCTATGCTGTTGCTTTGCTCTATCTGACAAAAGGCAATGAGCTGTATCTGTGAATACCCCTTTTTGTTGGTTTCAGTACAATGCAATATCTGTGCTAGCATCTAGACAACTGCTATAAACAGGAAAATGATAATAAGCGCTATGTGCCTGTGACCAATACTCTTGAACTCTTGTAATATTTACCCCCATAAGTAATTTAAAGGTTTGAGTGGGATTTGTGAGATAACAAAGTGCTTAGATAAATATATATGTATGTATTTAGGAAAATGTGTATATAATATGTACATACATATATATTTCCTTGTTAGCATTTTTTTCTGGCATCTGTCCAGGACCCTACTATACCTAGACAAAACATCAATAACAGAATTCTTATAGCCATGAATACACAATTTCATTTGGAAAGCAAGTAACATAAAAGGTGCATAGATTGTATTCCTATTTATGTAGTTCATGCTGAGTACACCCTTGCTAATTTATGCTGATGGGGTCTTTACAAATTACTGAGTGTTTTGGCAGGAGGAATGTAACACTAGTCCAGCATCTTGCCACAAGCTTGAGGCTAGCCACCATTTTGGGACTCCAGTCCTCCAGTCTGAGGGTGAACGTCCATCTCAGCAGCTGTCTTGAAGCTTATTTTGCAATTGTAGAGAAAATAATAAAAAGAGCTCAGCTACTGGAAACTGCTGGCTTTTTCTTCTGATCCCTTTGTAATGAAAAGTTTCCCTTTCAACCGAGGGAATCAAAAAATCTGTAGGTAGTGAATGAGTGGTTTGGGATACTGAAAAACAAAACAGGAAGAGAAATCAATGAAAGTTGAAGAAAACAAAACCAATCCCAAACCAAGTGAATCTGTAACTGGGGATGGTAAACAAATAAACAAATAAACCCACTGGAATTCCAAGCCATAAGCTATCAATGAAGTTGTATAGTACACCTGGAAATGTGGATTTGCAAGCAGAAGGAAATAAACCCACCAGCTGCCAAGAGCTCTTTTCCAAGACTTTTCCCTGTTACGTGTGCTGTAACCACTGCCAGAAAAAGATACATGAGAAAACCTATGAGTGTTGTTTATTTATGCTCTATCTCACTCAAAGTGTAAGGGAAATATGGTAAGAAAGGACAACACAGTAAAGGAGCAATCTGGGGAAGTGTTTCTTTTCTCCCTGCAGAATGACTTCCATTCACTGGTGCTAGCAACTGCTCATAACATAGCTGTATTTGCAAGTCAGGATGGGAACTTATGTCCATGCAAGTATCAAAGTGGAGTTAATACCTTCTCTCTGGCAGTGTTAGAACATCCTAGCACTTGGTATAATGTCAAGGTATAAACATGAGTGTTAGGAAACCTCAGAGGACTCAGTGAACAATCTAAGGTGATTCTGGAATTGACCTAGGATAAGGACTTACAGACGTTCTGGAGACAGTTTGTAATCTCTCCTGCCTTTCTTGTTTATCTTGCAACGCATGTAAGCACATGGGTTGAGAAGAATCAGAGAGACACCGTTTTGCACATCAGTAATCCATGACATCTCTGGTAATAGTAGCATTTTTCTGCTTCTGGTACACTGAGCTGGACCTGCCAGCTATTTGGGAGGTTAATAGCATGCACCTGATTCAAAGCAAACCAACTTTTGAATGGCCACACCTGATCTGTGTAAAAAAAATCCTTGATGTTTGGAGATAATAGTAAAAAACTAAAAAAAAAAAAAAAGAAAAAATTAAAGCATTATGAATAAAGTCTCTATGGCTGACTCTGTACTAGTAAAGTAAATATGCAGGGGTGCAGGCTCAAGTGCTGGCATGCAATTGTCTGTACCATTTAGCTTTTAGCACCTTCAGTAGAAAAGTTCTATGATTCTATCATTCACCAGTGAATTATTCTATGAGGAATTAAGGGATATCTCTAGGTCAGCTGCCCTTGTCCTTATGGGTGATTTTAACTTCCCAGATGTCAACTGGGAACATCACATAGCAGACACAAACAGGTCCAGGAAATTCCTGAAGCACGTTGGAGATAACTTCTTGGTACAGGTAATAAGGGAGCTGACTAGGAAAGGTGCCTCCTAGATTTGTTGTTTGTAAACAGAGTCGGGCTCATGGGCCAAGTGGTGATTGGTGGCTGTCTTGGTCACAGTGACCACGAAGCATTCAGTTTCCAATAGTTGGCGACAGGAGAAAAACTGCCAGCAAAACCTTGGCCCTGGACATGGGAAGAGCAGACTTGGGGCTGCTGGAGGAGCTAGTTAGTAAGGTGCCCTGGCAATCTGCTTTTGAAGGTATTGAGGTCTGTGGATGCTGGTTAGTTTTAAGACCATCTCTTAAGAGTGCAGGAGCAGGCAATTCCAAAGTGTGGGAAGTCAGGCAAGAGGGGCAGAAGGCTGTCTTGGCTGAGCAGGGGTCTTCTAGAACTTAGGTGGAAAAGGAGAGTGTACGGACATTGGAAGCAAGGACAGGTGACACAGGAAGACTACAGAGATGCTGTTCACTGTAGGGAGGAAATTTGTGCAGCCAAAGCTTGATTAGTGTTCAAGCTGGCCAGCACTGTAAGGACAACACAAGGACTTTTTTAAGTATGTCAACAGCAAAAGAAGGATCAGAGATGACACTGGGCCATGAGGTTGGTCACCTCACAAATAAGGACGTAGACAAAGCAGAGACGTTTAATGCTGCCTTTGCCTCTGTCTTCAACACCAATGATGGGCCCTGGGACACTCGGAGCCCTCTGTTTGAAGACTATGACTGGGGGGATGATAAACTCCCAGCTGACCCTGAATTTGTTTGAGACTTGCTGCTCCAGGCTCTAGGGTACAATGGGATTCATGCCAGGGTACTGAAAGAGCTGGATGATGTTATTGGGGGACCTCTCTCCATTATTTTTCAACAATCTGGGGAGTCTAGAGAGATCCTAGTCAACTGGAAGCTGGCAAATGTTGTCCCAGTTTTCAAGAACAGGAAGAAGGAAGACCCTGGTAATTACAAGCCTGTCAGTCTCACTTCAGTGCCTGGTAAAATTATGGAGAAGGTTATTCTGAGAGTTATTGAAAAACACTTGAGAGACAATGCAGTCATTGGTCATAGCCAGCATGGGTTCTCAAGGGGAAAGTCCTGTCTAACAAACTTAATTTTCTTTTATGACAAGGTCACCCATCCAGTTGACCAAGGGAAGCCAGTAGATGTGGGTTTTTTATTTTAGCAAAGCTTCCGATACTGTTTCTCACAGTATTGTTCTAGACAGAATGTCCAGCACATAGCTAGAGAAGCCCATAATACATTGGGTGAACAATTGGCTGACAGCTTGGGCTACCTCAAGTACTGTGTGCAGTTTTGGGCGCCTCAGTATCAGAAGGACATCAGACTATTAGAATGTGTCCAGAGGAGGGTGACCAAGGTGGTGAAAGGTCTCGAGAGAAAGACTTACGAGGAGCAGCTGAAGTCACTTTGTTTGTTCAGCCTGGGGAAGAGAAGGCTGAGGAGTGACCTCATCACTGAGGGGTGACCTCATTGCTGACGAGGGAAAGACTTACGAGGAGCGGCTGAAGTCACTTTGTTTGTTCAGCCTGGGGAAGAGAAGGCTGAGGAGTGACCTCATCACTGAGGGGTGACCTCATTGCTGAGGGTTGACCTCATCGCAGTCTACAGCTTCCTCAAGGTGGGCAGCGGAGGGGGAGATGCTGATCTCCTCTCTCTGGTGACCAGCTATAAGACACGAGGGAATGGAATGAAGCCACGTCAGGGGAAGTTCAGATTGAACATGAGGACAAGGTTCTTCACTGAGGCGGTGGTTGGTCCCTGGAACAGGCTCCCCAGGGAAGTGGTCATGGCACCAAGCCTGTCAGAGTTCAAGGAGCGTCTGGACAGCACCTGGACAGCGCCTCTTAGTCATATGGTTTAGTTTCAGGTAGTTTTGCAAGGAGCAGGGAATTGGACTTGATGATCCTATGGGTCCCTTCCAACTTGAGATATTCTATGGTCCTTAAGACTGCTCACAGTAGTCAAGTGCCTGAGTATTTACAGGGTCTGGGCCAAGGCCCACAGTATGGAAAAAAGGGAGGAATAAGGAGGAATCCTCCAAAATCCACGAGAAACCAAAATATCTCAAAAGTTGTGTAACTGTCAAACTTCATCATGCTGCCCTAGTTTATAGCAGTGTGGAAAATGGGAGCGTGGAGGGTCAATTAATGTGTTTTTTGTCGCCTGTTTTTTGGCTTGTTTTAAGCTGTCGGGTCAGTTCAGTTAGCAGGATTAGTTAATGGTAATATTAAACTCAGAGTGAGAATGAAAACTCACTAGATTTGACTAGTCCTAGCAGTCTGTAACTTGCAGTATTTTGTCTAACTATTTACTCTCATATTTAAGGGCAAAGTATCATAGTTACATGTCGGTACCAAAGCTTTGTAATTACCATCTTTAGAAGGCATCATGCAGTGAATTTGCTATTAAATATTGAATTTGCCTATAAAATAATGACTAAGTCATAGCTGTCCAACTAAATAAGGGCAGCCTAATGGCAGCAGTCCTTAATATAGGCTGCTATATATTTAAAAATTTTGCTTCTAGCTGAAAGAGGAAGTGGTTTCTGCTCTTACTGTGTGAGCCCTTGAGCCTTTCTGGAGCACTGGAGGAAAGGGTAGGACTGTAGTCTGTGTGGCTGTACTTTTTTGGCCATTTCAAGCTTGTTTGCACAGACCTGCCCTGTCTGCTCATCCTCTCATACAAACCTGATGAGTACTTGCAGACCCTTAGGATAACTGGGCAATATGTTAAAACATGTCTTCCTGATGTTAGTGCAGTTTATCTTCGATATCAGTTGCGATTAGTGTAACACAGGGCAAAGCCACGTGTCTCTGCTTTCCCTCACTCTGTCACTGCACTGTGTTGTATGTGATTTCCTCTTAGCATCAGGTTTGGTTTGCTTTTCACCTGTGTCCTCAACTTTCCTTTTCCAAAGATGGATGAAAGCTAAATATTTGATTGGAAGATTGAATTATGTACTTATACTTTTGTGTGCTACATTTACATTTAATGACAACTACATGTTACCTTGTCTTCCTCTGCTGCTTCAGTTGCCTTACAAAAGCAGTGGCAAGTTACATTGTGGTTACTTGCAGCTTCCTCCTGACCATTTGAGACACAAGCTCTCACCACATGCTGCTACTGTTACTCATGTAGCTGCTTCTAAGCAATCATGAGGTTGCATAAAAAAAAATTCGAATTATTAGTATAGATGACAAGTTCTTATACTATAGCTGTTGTCATTACAGGCATCTATTTTGACATCACCTGTGACTGCTGCACACCTTGCATCCGCAGTGTCTGCTTTGGCTTTCATTATTGTCCATTTGTCTCTATGGTCTATCTGTCTGTCATTTTGTTATAAAACAAGAGTTTTGCTTGAAAGTAAAGTTTTAGCTTATCGCCTGCTCTTTCATTGTTTTCCTCTGTTTTAGAGGAATTTTGTGAATTTTCCTCCCCACCGTCACCCTACTGGTTTCAACACTACAGATCTCACCTAGAGCAAAACAGAAGTGAGTGAACGGCAAGGAATTGATGTTTTCTTCTGTGTCACATTAGCATTGTATGGCACCATCAGAACTTTTTTTTTCCCAAGGTAATTGCAGGTGGCCAAAATATAATCATTTTTAGAATATAAGATTTCTATCAGGATGAATTCATACTTGACTTCCAGCTGTGAATTCTCTGAAATGCATCATT